TTTACCAAATAATGAATCCTTATCCCAAAATCTTAATTCTTACATTTGTCAAATATAAGGTTATTATGTTTATTTGCTGTTGTAAATTGTATGCCTACTCTCTTCCATTGATCTACATTTCTATTTCTTAGCCAGTACCAGAGAATTTTGATAATTACTACTTTCCTCTTTTACATTTTTTCCATTATTTCCTTTTATATTCTTGACCTTTTGTTTTTCTGAATGAATTTTGTTATTATTTTTTAAAGTCAGTAAAATAATTATTTGGTAATTTAATTGGGATGGTGCTGAATATATAAATTAGTTTAGGTAAAATTGTTATTTTTATTATATTGGCTATACTTTCCAGTGATGTCTGACACCTAGTATGGCTATAGTAGGAGCCAGGCCATCCATACTTCCAAAAATATTACCAGGCATATGATGATCCAATATAATATAATATAATATAATATAATATAATATAATATAATATAATATAATATAGATATGATATGATATGATATGATATGATATGATATGATATGATATAATGTAATGTAATGTAATATAGTATAGTATAGTATAGTATAATATAATATAATATAATATAATGCAATATAATGCATATAATATAATACAATATAAATATAACATAACAACATAATATAATATAATATATTATATTGACCATGAACAATTAATATTTCTCCAATTATTTAAATCTAATATTATTTGTATAACAAGTTTTTTTTTAAGAATAATTTTTGTATAGTTCCTGGGTTTGTTTTGACAGGTGTACTCTCAGGTATTTTACACTGTCTAGAGTTATTTTAAATGGGGTATCTTTTTTCTATTTCTTCTTGCAGAGTTTTGTTTGTGATATATAGGAATGGTGATGACTCATGTAAATTTACTTTATGTCCTGCTACTGTGATAAAATTATTAATTGCTTCAACTAACTTTTTAGTTGAATCTTTGGGATTTTCCAAGTATATTATCACATTGTCTGCAAAAAGAGATAGTTTTATCACCTCATTCCCTATACTTATTCCTTCTATTTCTTTTTCTTCTCTTATTGCTGTTACTAGGATTTTCAATACAGTATTGAATAATATTAGTGACAGTGAACATCCTTGTTTCACACTTGATCTTACCGACAAGGCTTCTAGCTTATCCCCATTATAAATAATGTTTACTGATGGTTTTAGGTAAACGCTTTTTATCAACATAGGGAAAAATCCATTTATACCAATTCTTTCAAGTGTTTTTAATAAAAATATGTTGAACTTTGTCAAAAGCTTTTTCTGCATCTATTGATATATTTAAATTTTTTTTATTGAGGTAATAATTTATATTAATAGTTTTCCTTATGTTAAACCATTCCTGCATTCATGGAATAAATCTCACTTGATCACAATGCATAATCTTTGTAATATATCATTGTAATTTTTTAGCTAGTAGTTTACTTAGGATTTTTGCATCTATATTCATTAATTAAATTGGTCTATGATTTTTTTCTCTCATTTTACTCTTCTTGGTTTAGGTATCATGATCATATTTGTTTCATAAAAAGATCCCTTCTTTGCTTGTTATTCCAAATAATTTATTTAGTGTTAGAATTAGTTGATATTTAAATGTTTGATAGAATTCACTTGTAAATCTATTTGCTGTTGGTGCTTTTTTTTTTCTGAAGAAGCTCATTTATGGCTTGTTCAATTTCTTTTTCTAATAGGTCTATTTAGATTTTCTACTTCCTCATCTGTTTATGTAGGCAGTCTATATTTTTGTAAATATTCTTCCATTTCACTTAAATTGTTAAATTTGTTGGCATACAATTGGGCAAAATAATTCCTTATAATTGCTTAAATTTCATCTTTGTTAGTTATATGTTCACCCTTTTCATTTTTGATACTAGTGCTTTGGTTTTCTTATCTTTTAAATAAAATTAACCAGTTATTTATACATTTTATTTGCTTTTTATAAGCCGACTCCTAGTTTTATTTATTCAATGTTTTAACTCTTAGTTTTATTAATCTCTTCTTTAAGTTTCAGAATTTACAATTTAGTGTTTAATTGGGGATTTTAAATTTGTTCTTTTCCTCATTATTTTAATTGCATACCCAATTCATTAGTCTGCTCTTTCTCTAATTTATTAATGTAAGCATTTAGAAATATAAATATTCCTCTAATCATTGCTCTTGCTGTATTCCATAGGTTGTGATATGATGTGTCATTATTGTTATTCTCTTTAATGAAATGATTGATTGTTTCTATGATTTCTTTTTTAGTCCACTCATTCTTTAAATTTAGGTTGTTTAATCTCAAATTGGTTTTAAATCTATGCTTTCTTGATCCCTTATTAAATGTAATTTTCTTACATTATGATCTGAAAAGGACATTTTTAATACTTCTGCTTTTTTGCTTTTAACTATAAAATTTATAAATACTAACATATGATCAATATTTGTAAAGGTACCACGGACCATTAAGAAAAACGTGTCTTATTTCCTATTTCCACTCAATTCTCTCCAGATATCTATCATATCTAGCTTATCTAACCTTCTATTCACTTTCTTAACTTATTTCTTATTAATTTTTTGGGTTAGATTTATCTAGTTCTGAGAGGAGAAGATTAAAGTCCCCTACAATTATAGTACTACTATCTATCTGTAATTCATTTAACTTTTCTTTTAAAAAATTACACACCATAATATTTGGTGCGTATAGGCTCAGTATTGATATTGCTTCATTGTCTATGGTACCTTTTATCTTTTTTATTTTTTATTTTTTTTGCTTTTTGGTGAGGCAATGGGGGTTAAGTTACTTGCCCAGGGTCACACAGCTAGTAATATGGTACCTTTTATCGAAATGTAGTTACACTGTTTATTTCTTTTAATTAAATCTATTATAGCCATATTGTCTGAGATCATAATTGCTACCCCTGCCTTTTTTACATCAGCTGAAGCATAATAAATCTATTCCAACCTCCATTTAAACCCTGTGTGTATCATTCTTAAATGTGTTTCTTGTAAAAAAGAAAACATATTGTTGATTCTGATTTTTAACCCATTCTGCTATCCATTTCTGAATAAAGCAGAAATACTCATAAAGAGTGAGTTCATCCCATTCACATTCAGAATTATAATTACTATTTGTGAATTTCCCTCCATATCATTTTTACTCACTATTTTCCTTCTCAGCCTCTCTTTTTACCCTACCTCTGTTACTTATTCTTCTCCCCTTACCTTATAATTCCTTATTTTACTCACGCCTCTAAAAGTCACTCCCTTATCTTCTCCTCTCACCCTCCTAATCTTAATCTACACATCCTTCTGAAAGTCCCTGCCCTGCCCTATCCCCCATTTTTCTCACCTCTCTAGAAGTTCAGAAGACTTCTAAACCCCTCCAGATGTGTAAGTTGTTTCCTCTTTAATGCAGATGAGAGTAAGTTTTAAACATTACCAACTCTCCACCCCCACCTACTTTCTCTGTATTAGTTCTTCCTTTCATGTCCCATTTTATGAGATAATTTCTTTTTTTTTTACCTTTTTCTACCCAGTTTTTTAGAATCACCCCATCATACTCAGCTCAGCCCAAACCTTTCTTTCAAACTACTTCAGTAATTATGACAGTTTTAAGAATACTAATAACAATTTCATATAAGTGAATATTTGACTTAATGAATGCCTTATAATTAGTCTTTAATGTTTTCCTTATATTCTTCTGGATCTTTTACATTGAATTTTCCATTAAGTTCTGGCTTTTTTTGTTAAAAAAAACTTGAAAGTCTTTCAGTTTATCAAATGTCCATTTTCCATTCAGGATTATATTAAACTTTTCTGTGTAAGTTATTCTTGGATGCAACCCTAGTTCCCTTGCTCTTCAAAATATCTTCCAAGATAATAGTTCTTTGTTAGCCTTACTGCTAGCAATGCTCCCTAAGGCCCACTGGACTTAATTCTCCAGGATGTCTGACTCTCAGTAACCACATCATTGGTTATCTGTGATGTTAAGATCTTTCTTGTATAGTTCTTCTGTTTATTGTTGCCACCTCTTCTTGATCTCTTCTGCTTCTCTTAAATCCCTACCATTTTTGTCTTTTATCATGCTTGTGTTTGTATGAAAATTTCTCTTGACATCTCTAATTTTCTTGAGATCTCTTCCTTTCCCATTCTATTGTTTTCTGACAATAATTACAGTTCTTTCACTTTTAAAATTATTTTTTAATTTATCCTGTGCATAGCTTGCTTTGTATACTTTTGTTTGTATGTTATCTCCTCTGTTTGTAAACCTCTTGAGGGCAGGGACTGACGTGATTTTTTGTATCCTCAGCTCTTTGCTTAGTGTCTGATACATAGTAGGCCCTTAATAAATGTTTGTTGGTTGTTGTCCTTTGTTCTTGAAGAGGACCAAAATGACATCAGTATGCTAGGGTCAAGTTACAGTGTGTCTGACTGTGGCTGATCAGACAAATATGAATAAGTGACTGAATAATGGGGGAAGACAACACATAAAAGGAAGCTGAAAAGACAACGGAAAGGAGGGTATCCAGGACACATGGGCATGATGGTGAATCTCAGAGGAGTGCATCCAGGTGGGAAACATAAAGATTACTCACCTGGGAGTCCTTCTTACATGGAAGTTTTTGGAGGAGTCCTTCATCTCCACTCCCTCTGCTCAGAGGGAAGGGCCTCCAGGGGAATAGGATACAGATGAGATGTGAATTTTAGTTTTGAAGTACTTTTGCAGCGTGATGAGTTTCTGGGGGCATGAAGGCAAAGTCAAGTGAAGTACAGTTGAGTGGCAAATGAAGAGATGGTTGGCCTTGGCATGCTCCTTAAAAGGAGGTTCTTGCAGGAATCCTCATCGGAGAGAAGATGCCTAGGGGCTAAACATTTGAATAAATGATCTGGAAGAGGATGTAAGGAATGAAACATTCTACTTTGGAGAGGACACTAAACTTCTGGCATCATCATAGGAGGCTTTTAGGACTAGCTGTTCTAGGACAAGAAGCTGTTCTAATTCTTTTTCCTTGTGAAAAGGACCTTCATGGGGTGGGAAACATGAGTGCAGGCAGGAGAAATCACTCTAGCAATCCTATATTCAAACTTTAAGACATTATGAGAACCAGTGTCTTTTCTTGTCAGAGAATGCAGCTTGGGGGCTCGGGGGAGCAACACAAAAGGGCTAAGGGTTGGGAAGCAAAGAGACAGAACGGCAGAAATGGTCAACCCATATAGGTTATGATCTAAATAAGTGAGAAAAATCAAAGTGATGGAGTGAAGGAAGTAAAAACAGACAAAAATGCCCATCAACAGTAGGATGGTTTGGGTGGCCCTGACTTCAGCGAGAGTTCTAGATGAGAAGCTGGTACTGTGGATGTTCTGGACTTGTTGGTGGTGTCTGTGCAGGAGAATCACCATGTAGCTACTGGTCCAAAACATGAGTCCCACACAGAGAACATTTCTCAGACTAGTCATAATGAAGTAAACATCTATAAGTATTCCCATTGAACAATATATAGCATTAGATTTATTTGTATTGTTGGTAGTAATCCTTGGTCCTTTCACAAATATTGGCACAGGAATTTCTATCAAGATATTCAAGATCCAACAGAAGAGACAGGAGGTAGAAATTAATTCTGGAATTCTGGCTTTGAGTTCTGACAGTGTGGAATCACTGGGACTGATGCTGATGGCCTGAAAGCTACACAGAAGGCAAGTGAAGCAAATTGAAAGCCCTTGGGCCATTCTGTGAAGGAAAAATATCATTTTGCATCCAACATCATCCAGGAAATAGCTCAACCCAAAAGCCTGTAGTATTTCTGGGTTTCCCTTGCTTACCAGCATAGTGATGTTGGCCAAGATTAGCTGGGTCAGAATCAAGTTTAGTGGCCTTAATTTATGGCCAGATAGGAAATTCAAAATATAAAGAGAAAGGAGGAAAAAGTTTGCCAGAATTCCAATTGTAGTCTGGAAGAGCAAAAAGATCCCAATGCAGACATAAATAGTAAGCATTCTCTGTTTGTCTTGAGGAGAAGATAAGCTAGACTACCTAGAGGGAAACAATAGCTGTGTGACTATCACATTATGAGATTACAGCATGTGGGAAAAAACTCACACCATGATTCCTTTTTCTTTCCCATACCTATGACACTTAAAATTACTGTTGAGGGAAGTTATGAAAAACTTTCCTTGACCAAATAATTATTCATATTTTCTTCAAGCAGCCATTTTGAGGAGCAAAAGAATGAACTCAGAGATGGCTTAGGTGATCAGAGAAGAAAGAAATATCCATGCAGTACTGGAGTTGCTGTATTTGTTTATGCTCAGGACATCAGGCATGTCCCTCCCACCAACCTGATATAAACAAAAAAAAAATCTTTCCTTGAGTTTTGATGTTCTTCTTGATCTACCCCAAATAACAGTCAGCTGAGGTTCAGCAGCCATTTACTGAGGATCCAGGGACCATTCCACACCAATCTGAGGGGCTGAGATGAACTGTGGGACAGAGCTGCTGTACTAAGAAATTAGGGCAAAATGGAAAAAGAGAGCAGCAAATTAATTTCAAAGTATTAGGTGCAGAGGTTATCATGTAATTAATCGATCTAGCTGTCCATCTATTTACCTATCTATCTATCTATCTATCTATCTACCTACCTACCTATCCATCTATCATCTCTCCATCTATCATTACTCTCCTAGCTTGTCCAGGATTTTACATAGCTTAGAAAATGTTAACTGTGGGATTTGAGCAGAGCACTTTTTCAATTATTCCAAACAGTATCCATAATGTGATGGAACACTGAAATGTAAATAACATCACCCATATGAAGAAAAAAAGAAACTGAGGCTTCTATGAAGTAAAACTGAGTGGGAATTCCCCCTTCAGCTCCAAGAACAGAGCTCATACTACCAAGACTTTTTTAAGTATAAAAGTGAATAGGAATTAATGGATAGTTAACCTTGGTGGGGATTGGAGGGAATGACTGAAAACTTATGAAATAGATTGAAAAATAAATTGAAAGTCCCATATTTCAATGTAAAAAAAATTGCAAAGCAAGTCATTGGTTGTGTTGATATTCAATAGCAAGTTTATTAAATTATTTAAAAAATACAACAAAATAAACTTTATAATTATTAACACTTAAGATGACTTTTGAGTTGCTTCCAACTCTAGGTCCTGTGAAATGAATTTAAACACACAAAGTGCCATAACATTTCAGTCCCACTCTAATATTGCTGTGTATTTAGTTTGATGTTTCAGTACCAGCTGGTTTTGATCAGAACAGCATTCTAATGGAATTTAAAATCTGAGGCAGAAAGTCAACCTTCAATCTCCCCTACTCAATTCCCTCCGAGAATGTCACTGGATACTCTTACCCACTCATTGTCCCATATACATTTCAGGGTTAGTCAATTCTAAGAATATACCCCTGGGTTTCTTCCTAGAATTGACAAGGCCACAACTCTAGTTCAGACCCTCATCTCTCACTTGGACCATTTCAGTAGCCTCCCAATTGGTCACCATACCTAATTCTTCCATGCTTCACACAGTTGCTAAAAGTATTTTCCTGAAGCATTGTTCTTACCTCACATGAGTAGTTAATAAACACCACTGATTCTCAATTTCTACTAAAATTAATCAATTAAGGTATATTTGTTAAGTGACTAATATGGTATTTTACTAGGCATACAAGCAAAAAGAACAAAAATCTAATCTGTTCTCAAGGGGCTTATATTCTATCATCATTTATAAACTTCTTCAGGGCATTTAAAGCCCTGTACAACCAGATGTCAATCTATCTTTATAGGTTTATGTTTTATTTTTCTTCCTGCAATCTATAAGGAAAACTGGCTTTTTTCTTTCCTTAACCTATGAGATTTGATCTCTCCTACTTTTGCATAGGCTGTCCCCTAGGCAAAGAATGTATTTCATCCACATCTCCATTTCTTTGAATCCCTAGATACCTTCAAAACTAATCTTAAATTGCCTTGTGTATATGAAGTTTTTTCCCGATATTTTCAGTTGTGAATACTGCTCCTCCCCCTACCCCAGTACACACACAATTACACTGTGAAAGCCTGTGCCCCTTTAAGTCATCAGCAAATATGTATGTCTTAAGATAGGAGTGTGCTGGAGCTAGGTGCTACAGCTTCTGAGAGTCATTTTGAATGTGAGCTTTTACACCTCGGAAATTAGCAAACACTAGACATTTACTAGCTGTGTGACCCTGGGTAAGTCATTTAACCCTGTTTGTTTCAGTTTCCTCGTCTGTAAAATGATCTGGAGAGGGAAATGGCAAACCTCTCCAGTATCTTTACCAAGAAAACCCTAAATGGAGTTACAAAGAGTTGGACAGTACTGAAAAATGGCTGAATAAATTAAGGATTGACTTATTTTTTGTTGATTGTGTAAACTTAATAAAGCGATGGATAAAAAGGTTAATAATATAAATTAGATTCAAGAGTATATCATTTGTATATATATATATATGTATATATATGTGTGTGTGTGTGTATATATATATATATATATATGTGGTGTATTATATATATATTTGCAGTATCATAAGTTATAACCAAGGAATTGTAAGGTCACTGTCCTACTCAGGCTATGTTTTCACTTATTATAGAATGAGCTACTTTCAGATGTGAGTAATATTATTCTATGGCTTCTAATCACTATCAAAGATATGTTCTCTACTTTTTGTGAAAGATTACATTCCATATACCCTGTACATGTGTATCTCATATGTGTGTAGTTATTTACAGTATGCTATCTTTTTATAGTATGTTAGCCTTTTGGGGCTGGACAGTCTTTTGGACTTTGTATCTTCAGTTTTGAGTAAGCTCCCTGGCATAAAGCAAGCATACAAAATTGCTAATTGACTGACTGAAATAGCACAACAGTCAAAATTGCAGTTGAGCCTGAAGCTGGGATTGCTCCTCACATAGCTTTTACACCATCTGCACCACCTTAAGTTTCAGGATCAGTTAGCAGCCCAGGAACTGTCCAGCCAAAGCCCAGAGACCCTCAGCCCAAGTCTGGCAGAAGTTTCTTCAGTTATGTTCCCAAAAGGCCTTGTCTCTGAGGCTTGAAACCTCTCAAGGATATAGATTCAGAGGTGAAGTTTAGCCTTTCCATTGGATCATTAACCATGGTTCTGAGGTAGGTCCCCTCATTGGGACCTTACTTGAACTTATAGTGGTAATTTCATATATTCCCATACTTTTTTCTCCGTAAGTTTAGTCATATCCAGATAATAGCCTTTTGCAAAATATTCACCAAACAGCTTTGGCTTTCCAGGTTCCTTAGTTTTATTAAGCTCTACGGTTTTCCTGGTGGTATATGCAAATGAGTGGCTAGGCAAAATGTGTAGAGGTCATTTCTGTTTGGGGAGAGGAATTCATTGTCTCTGCTGACCTTTTAGTATAAAAATGAGCTACTTAGAGCCTTATATACTTTTCAAAGCCTGAAATAATCCACTCACATCTGAAAAGGGGTTTACTTTTTATGAAGTGCAAAAATAGGTTGGTACAAGTAGTATCCTTACATTTCCTAGTCTATTACTTTGCCCTTAAGATTTGCTTATTTCCTGAAGACTGGAAAGAGTACATCCTTACATCTGTGCGTATGTGTGTGTGTGTGTGCTTATGTGTGCACACACATATTTACTCACATATACATATTAACTCTACTAATAGTATGGAAGTTGGTTGAAGGCAAGAAATTAATTTTTTTTCTTTGTAATCCCAGTGTTATGCTCATGGCATGTAATAGGTACTAAGTAAATCCTCATTGATTGATTGGCATTGAAAGTATGTAAATTTATTTTATGTGTATTTTCATTTTTGTTCATTGTCATTCTTCAGTTCTTCTGTAAGAGAAGTGTACTGTAGTTTATGAACCCCTTATCCTCCTTGAAAGAAATTGTCCTCTTTAAATGAGAGCTTCTCTAAGATCTTAACAATTATAGGCATTTTCCCTTCATCCTCTTATTTAAGAAGACATGCAGAATGTATGGAAGGTATATATGATAGTGAATGAAGGTAAGTTGTCCCATGGAGGAGGTTTAATAAAACCTGTAGTTCACGTACTATGCACTAAAAGCCCTAAAACAAAGTGTCACACCAAGTAAGGATGGGGTTGAATAATTTAATTATTCCACCCTTATAGTATGCTTTAAGGTGTTTTAGCATAAGTAAATATTGCATTTTAAGGCCTTTTTATTATCTAATCATATCATTAATTTATTTTAGTTTACATGTTTTTATTGATTATGTTTTTTTGAACAAACTTTATGTATTAGGTATATATTCTTTTTCATCATAATTAATGCTTTTAAAATGTACCATTGTATTATGTTGCTTCATACTATATTTAGCATTTTTGCCTCCATATTTATTAAGAAAAATTTCAATTTTAATGTTTTTTATAGGTCTTAAAATCAATATCACATTTTCTTCACAGGAGTTTTTGGACAGTATTCCACTTTTTCCTTTTAAAAACATTATCAACAAAATTATCACCAAAGCACCTCTGAGTGGACTTGGGGGTATTTACAATTAAATAAATGAAATTCAAATAATGAAATGTCATTGTAATATTTTAGTTACATCCTCTTAGTCTTTTTTTTTGTGAACTTATTCCCATTGTATAGTATTTAGAGTGCTATACTAGGAATTGCAAAGATCTAACATCCCATATTCAACACTTGCTATGTGTTGGAAAAGTCTTAAACTCTGAGAGTCTTAATCTTCACATATGTGGAAATGGGGATGGTATTAACTGTAGTAACGGCTTTACAGATTTTTGCAAAGCTCAAATGAGAAAATGCATGCAAAGAACTTTCCACATCTTAAATGTTTATAATTAATGCCATTCTATTGCTATTATAATCTCAGTGTACTTTTAAATCTTAATTGTATTAATAAATTAATACTCTACAATGATGATTTATAACAGTTTATATAATTATTTCCACATTTATCTTCCAGCGTTGGGTCATTAGAAA